ATTGGACTGGGACTGCTTAAAAAATCGTTGAAAGCATTCATTCGTTGTAAAACGATTATAAATATGTTTTACAGAATATACCATAATTCCTACTGAAGAGTCTCCGCCAAATGCATTAATCGTTTTTAAAAAAAAAACAAGAGGATTGTGAAATGCTGCTGTGCAAGTATTAACTTTTTGGAAGTGGAGCAGCAGTCATTTTCCGGACATTTTTTTCCAACAAATTTTGTTTTTCTTTATTTATTTTTTTTTTTGGTGTGGGAATAAAATTTCCGGAAACGAAGCCTCGCATTCCGTCGGAACCAGGAGTGATTGGGTGCAATGGACAAAAAGGTGAAGTTGGGTCTCTGGATTGTGGATTGATGGGCATGAACGATCGAGTCGTGTCCTTTCTCTCGTGGCTCCGGGTTCCAGGCCCTGTTCTATACTGAAGTAAAAGGAGGTTAGTAGTAGCTGTGGTGAAAGGAATTTCTGCTCGTTCTTACAGTTTCGCCCCGAAGGTCGTAAGGTAGCAGGAAGGGGTTGACGGGCTGCTGCTGCTGCTCGACGACAACGACGACGACGACGACCATCGTTTTCATTCCATTCCGTGTCTCTCGCCTCCGTGCGTATTTTCTTCATCGCTCCTTTTCTTTCTTTCTTTCTGTGAACCTCTTTTCTGATTCTGCTGAGAACCAGACACACAAAAAGTAAAAAAAAATCTTTCCTTCTTCGTTTCTTCCATGGTTCTACAGTATATACCTTCCCTATTTTCTGTATTGCGAGACAACTCGAGCATAAATTACAGAGTCTCTCTCTCTCTCTTTTTTTTTTCTTCCTTCCCCCACTGCTGCTGGACTCGCACCGATTATCCGGCTGAAATTAATCGCCGCTCGCTGTTAAAACGCACAGCGGAGTGAACCGGAGTCATTCGGGATTTGTGGCAACAAAGGAATGTTCCGCTCGTTTGACCAGTTTTATTTTCCTCTGATCTTTTTTTTTTCTTTCCCCGAAAGAAGGAAAACGAAGGATCAAAGCGTTACATGTCTTGAACGCGCCAAGTGTTTTGAATATATGGAACGAGCCTGCAATAAAAGTGATGTTTTAGCGCGAAATGGCAGAAAAAGATCCGTTTCTCCCCGGTTACAGCATTCATTCGAGAAGAAATCTGCAACATTTATTTTGTAAAAGGTTCTCTTATTACGATGGAAATGCGATAGAATTTTTTTTTGCGATGCAACGATGAGGACGATGTAAGGAGCTATAAGAGATTTATTTTCGTATGAGCTTTAAAAAGTTTGCACGAATGTGACTTTTTTCGAATCATCATAGGTCTTCTACAATCATTAAAATAGGCATTTATTTGCCTGTGTGACTGCGGAAAGATGACAAAGTTTGACTTCAAACATGAAAACATCGCTTCGGGGATCACTTGGAATTTTTTTTTCAAAAGATGGCAGAAAACAGTGCTTATTTATGTCATAAAAAATGTAAATTCCACAGAAATTCACAAGAAAAAGTATTTTCTTGAGCATCATGACAAATTTTCGATACTACAGTGAAACAAGGTTCTGCAGGAGATGCTGATTATCTTGACAGTATTTTTTTTATTATGAGTCAATGGCTGCTTGGGCCATTTTTCCAACGCTGCGAATTCTTGTGGAAGTCTTCTGATGACTTCATTTTAAATTCTCCGCAGGAAAAATTAACTAGAAGTGCAATAGATTATTGCACTATAGGTAATAATAATTTGAAATACTACCTCAACATAAAAGATTAACTTTTCTTTTCCGATTCCACGAGAGATAATTGTGGCAACGACGTTTCAAAATTTTCAATCGGTTTGGCATTTTCAGTTGAATGTGGTAATCTTTTTCAAGTTCCCAGAGTATTCCAATGTTCGTCTGCGTAACCTCGATCTGCCATGCCTTTAGGATGTTTCCATTTAAAATTGGCATAACAAAAGGTACCGTATATTCCCCGTATTTTGATTTTACAAACGTTTTTTTGCTTCTCAAAACTCTCGCAATTAGGCTGAGGATTCGAACGATCGGGTCTGCGTTTGTTTCTTGGCTTTGACAATAATCCGAGGATTGCTTCCGCGATTCAATTTTCTTCTGCTCAATCTCAGCACTAGCTTGAGGGAGAAAAACAAAATAAAAATTTTGTTTATTTATTCCCTTTGTTCGTAGTCCAGCAAGAAAGGGGGCAAAAAGAGTCTCGTGTTCTTTTATTGACTTACTTCTTCCGCTAAATAAAATTTTCCGCGTCGCCCCGTAAAACCGAGCAGCGAATGCTTGGCGGAATTCCAGGCGCCTCGCCGGGCGCCGGACACATTGTTGGCACCGACTGGCCATTATATGCCCCCATCGGGCATGAAGATTCACGGCCTGCACTTTTCCCTCATTTTCCCCCCCTCACACATACAAAAATAATGATAAAAAGAAGAATATAAATTGAAGGGGGGGTGAAACGGAAACTTTTGTGGGTTGCTGCGAAATAAGGTGGAAATGCGATCACAGACGAGAAGAGAAGCAAAGCAGCAGATTGACGTTCGTCTCCATCAAGGCAGCCAAAACGGCTCACCTGGTTTTTCTCTGGCTTCATCCGATGGGTTTTTCTTCCTTTTCCCCCCTCCTCCTCCTCCTCCTCCCTCGTCGATCTTTTCTGCCAAGGAAAGTTACGAGTTTTTAAAAACGGAATTTGTCCCAAGTTCCACGTCTTGTATATTTCCGTATTTCTTCGTTTCATTTAGTTTAGTTTTCTCCGTATACAATAATCGGGGAATGGGAAAACAGAGCACGAAGATGCACCCCCGGATAAAATGGACGCCTTTCTTCAAGTATTTTTCACTCTTCGGTCTTGGGATGTTTTTTTTTTGTATACTTGTGATCCAGATAGTGAGCCCTGATTTGAATGCTAGGCTGTATAGGAAAAAAATGTACACTGTAAATTATATATTATTCAAGGAGGATGCGAGAACATTTCAAAAATGATGGGGTGAGCTTGACTTGTCGTGTAAATTAAAGCTTGTTTGATATTCTTGGTATTGTTTGGTAGTCTTTTCGATATCTCCGAATGCTGCAACTTTGGAATAATATGTTTAACATACAATATAAGGTTTTTTTTTCGATGATAATTTAAGAATGGAGGAGTAAAATTCCCGTGAATTTTCCTTCGGTAATTTTTCCCCAGAAATTTGGCTGCAAAAATTAGGCATATACAGTATTCTAAAGATGCCATGCTCAAAAATTTTAACGTATTTCAAGCAGCATCGTTGGTAAAAGATGACGCATTGAGTTTTTTTGTTGTTGAAATGATATCGGATATTATACTCATGTATCATATTACGAAAGAAAACAGAACATCGTTTGGCTGCATATGATTCTACTGACAATTTCTTTACAACAACCTGAAACGTAAGCATTTTTATTCAACACCCAAAATCGTATGTCAACTCTCATATAGTTGATCAGTTTCTTTTCAAGCGACTTGATTTATTTTCGCATTCTGTCATTCTGCAGAGGATAAGATTCTGCAAGTTTCAATTTAGCATGCAATGAGTTCACGCAAGTAGCATTCAAAGGTTTTTCGATCATTTTGGTTCATTATATTTGGTTCACCAGCAAGTATTTTCGTGGCACAGAGAAAAGAACTCAGATATTCAGGTTGACAGCAGTTTTTCCATCAATTTTGACGATGATTCAATTATCTTCTCGCCCGGCTGCATTGGATCATCCTCTCGGCTTCCCTCTGAAATTCAAGTTAAGAAATTTGGTTAAATAAAGTAAGAAAACATGCTGGGTGATTAGAGAGCATGAATAAAAATTAGGAAAAAAGCTGGACCCCAGAATGTTTTCTGAAGATGCAAATATGACCCGGATTTTCGAAAAATGACTGATTGTAATTTCCGAACATTTCCCTAAATACACACGCGTCCTACTAAAAAAAAGAGATATCCTCTATTGTTCGAATTCGTCTGCATCACTTAATTGAAGATTTTTAAAAATTTTGTTTTCTTCATTTCTCTTTTGCTGAAATTATTCCAGAGTTCCTGAAATTCAAATTTTTTCCTATTTGATGACTCCGACGAAAAAAGCTCCCATGCTGCGTGGAAAAAATGTTTCTCAACTTTATACCGTTTAAAGTTTTTCTCCGTTTTAAAATTTTTCATTTAAATACCTGTACTGTACTGTATAAGCCTTTCGTTAGAGGGAACGGGAGGGTATACAGCAGAACTTCAATTTTGCTGTGCTAATGATCGAGTTCATCACCCAAATGATAAAAGATTTTAAATACTCGACTACAATATTTAATAGCCGTGCATTCATCGAATAAAATGACCTGGCGCAATACAAGCGGAATCGTTCAGAGAAAAATTTAAATTCAGTTGATTTCGAAATTAAGAGGATGAAAAATTGCCTTGTTTCGGCTCAATCGATCAAAATTTTCAACACCAATAGCTACAGCAGGGTCAACAAAAGCACAAATAACCAGTCTTCTAATTCATACCCATAACTTCGAGGAAGCCACAACACTGGAAAACTCTGTTTCTTTTGCCCAATTAACAATAAATCTGATCAATCGGGTCCAAATTCCAATTGATCTAAAACTAACAAATGTTGTTCCTCTTAATTTTCAATCGCGAAATCTGAGTTTTCCCTCATTGATTTATCAAGACTCGCGAAATTTAAAAATCGGCGAGAGTGTTACCAAAAATCATAATAGATCATCTTCAAACTTGATCCTGACCTGTTTGTTAAATGTTGGTTATTTTCAAGCAATTTTCTATTATCAGTTATATTTTATTGTCTTGCGAGGAATCCCGATAATTAGTCAGGGGTACTGTATTTGAAATTGTGTTGGATATTTGTCTTCTTACGCAGTATTTAGAGTTATTCGATGGAATAAATGAATAAAAATACAGTAAATGCACGTGTTTGGAAAATTGTATCTACCGTTGGTTTAGTTTGTGGATGCGTAAGTCTTAATTTTTGTACAGCCTGGCCCAGTTCATTCATTTATCCTCGGATTCGTCCACTTACGAAAAGCATGCGGTAAATGTTATTGAGAGCAATCGGTGAGATGACTCGACATTCCGGAGCAGCAGGTCCAGCAACAGACGCCTCTAGTCTCTCAATCAACTCGTCCGGCCCGATCGGGATCCGTTTGGCGAACCCGGATTTCCCCGGGTTGTATCTGAATTCCGGTTCAGCTTCCGGATTGTTGCCATTGTTTGCTCGCTTTCCATTGGACCAGCCAGTAGAGAAATTGACCTGGGCGTCTGAGTTTGCGGCGAAAATGATGACCAGGAGGCTGACCAGCGTTGCAGCCAGAAGGGGAGTGTGCAAGAGTTTTTTCGCTTCCATTCTGCTGTAGCTATTTGAATGATAATGAGGAGAATGCGCGTGAAACTGACGAGGAATCGGGAATTGAGCGACACCTATGTTAAAAATATAAATAGAATTCCGTTTTCTCTATTTTGTTTCGCTTAGTGTCGATCCTCGGTTACTTTGAATTCAAATTTAACATCACTTGGATCAATGAATATGAAACCAATGTGATTCTTATTTCGCGATGAAAACTATCATTCCCAATTCTCTCAAATCAACAGAACTCGTGGCAAGAATTCAGGCATGCAGAAATAAGACCGGAAGAAACAAACTCCAGCTCCAGCTAGAAAGAACTTGGAAAAGAAAGAACTTGAAAGAACTTGCAGTTTGTAGAACTTGGAAAAGAAACACCACATCTAAGAACCGAGATCCAGCAGAAATCGAAAAAAATATTCGAATTTTATTTTTGATTGAACTAAGCCGTGAATGATAATCTTTTTCTAACTTTAATAAAAAATTACATTTTACTGTAATACACTAGACATCAATTTAGTTGTGCTACACAGTTCTCGATGCAGGATATAATTATCCCAACTGAAATAAAAAATGTTCCATTGCTCATAGCCACGTTTTTGACAATTTATGAAGAAAATACAGTTTTAAACAATGAACATTTACAAATACTTTTCTTCAAGTGAATGACCTGCGGGTGATTCAGGAAGGCTTTTCAAGAGCTTGATTAGGAAAAATACAGCATTTATCAGGAAAAATGCTTCAATAAAAAATCGGGCCTATGAGAACATTTGCATGATTGGTTTATCATTCTTATCTTAAGGTCTAATGTTTCTTACGTTTCATATTAATCTTCAATGCACTTAATTTCAATTGTCCCTTAATTGATATTTAAGATGTGATGCATGAAGCATGATTGAACTCCATGGATGATCGATAGGCGTGATGAACAATTGGTGCGACATCTATTCTAAATTGTACACATGCAGTTGCTAGAGAAAAAGCCTGAATTGATTTGGTTTCACGCGAATCTTTTTTTCAACATGCTGTGAAACCCGAAGGACGCATGAATTCAGGATGCATATGTTAATCGAAGAAACCGTTTAAAATTTATCAATTACGGTAAGTTCCATTTTTCGTATTGATTGATTAAATTTATGGATACTAGGACCTATTCATTCCTCAGGAAATAGTTTAATATGCAGCCCGATAACGATGATGCAAAAGCAGCGTGCATCGTATCAACTTGAATCGAACGAGAATATTTGAGCGACATCTAAGTGGTAGCTTCCATAGAACACGTTCGAAATCTTTGAAAAGTAGCATCGAGAGAATAGCCATCGATCAATCGATACCCTCATCATCAGCAAGCAATGATCGATCGAACACAAGAAATCCTATCCTTTCTCTTTCCAGTAATACAGGAAACAGTCAACTTTCGTGTCAGTTTGAAAGACTTTCATCCTTGCAATGTACTTACTTCAATAAAAATGTTTTGACGATGATCACCACAGGAATTTTCCAGGAGAGCACCGAGACGAGGCTTGCTGTTTTCGGCGAGAACACCCGGGAAAGACTGAAAACCCGCGGACGCGACCCACGGGTTTATATACCTAAGAGAAGCTGGTTTTATATCGTACATAACTGTCACATGTTGCATCTTTTCTGCTCCCCTTAGCGCGTTATTCGAACCCCAGGATAAACAAAAAAGAGAGAAACAAAAAAGGAGAGACAAATAGGGCATCATCGCTTTTTGCCCGGGATCCCCCAGGGAACTAGTTGTCAGCATACGTCTAGAAAGATGCAAAGTTCTTGATGGGACATACTGTGCACTTTTGTGGGACTGCGTCGGACTTGATGACTCAAAAACCTTCGGTAATCAGATCAAAACTCTATCTTCCTTCGCTTTTGAATAAACTGTACAGTATCGTGAATGATTCGTGTTATTTGTGGGGAGCAAAAATTATTCGACGTAGGTTACGAAATTATATCTAATTTTGAATCGCGAAGAGATCAGAGCAAATTTGAAGAACGCACATTTGTTACCCGAGAATACTATATACGTTTCGAATTCAGAACAGAAATCAACCGAGATGTGCCAGATAAATTAATTTTAAAAATAGCATTCCGGGAATTGGCCCTAGCAAAGGAATACTGTATTTCAAATTGCGAGAAAATAAAACCCAAAACAGGACTAATACACCAAAATCTGAAGTAACTGAAAGTCAAGGATGTAATCTGACATGAATGTGAAACACTATTTGCACCGAATATTAAGCGAAATTTTAGTTTTTTTTCAAGATACAGTACATCGTATAATTAAGTACAAGCTCCTCAGATTTTCACGGGAAATTCTGATCAGGACAACTACGTACAAACAAACAGAAAAAATTACAAAGGAAGAGAATGACAGTTTGCGTACCCCAAGGTCAAAATTTAGTAACATGGAAATGAACTGAATGCTTTAAAACATCAGGAGTACCAAAA